TAATAATAATAATAATAATAAGCAGTAGTTCTGGTGGTGGAGGTGGTTAACAGTAGTGGACGTAATATCCCATCTTCTCAAACAAATTCAATATGGCATATGTAAACCTATCCCATTTTATATTTCCAACAAATCTGTGAGAAATGCTGAGTTGAGGGTTTGGGGATCCATGTAGAACAGCTAGTAAGCTTGTCTTACGATGCAGTAAGGTAGGCTTAATGTACTAAAATGTACAACTATCGTTCAGTCGCCAATGCTCCTTTTTTAAGGAAGCTAGTGGAGAGGGTGATGGCACTCTTGGTAGAAACCAATGCCCATTCTGGGTTTAGGACACATCATGGCATGGAGATGGCATTGGTTGCCCTGCATGATGACCTTCTGAGGGAGGCCGACAAGGGTAAAATGTCCTTGCAGGTCCTCCTTGACCTATCAGTGGCCTTTGATACCGTCGACCATGGTATCCTCCTAGGGAGGCTCTCTGAACTGGGGATTGATGCCCTGGTTTTGTCCCAGCTCCGGTCGTTCCTGAGTGCTGCCTGGCTGCGGTACTGGAGTGGATAGAGGCCAACAGATTGAGGCTAAACCTGGACATGACGGAGGTCCTTCAGGTGGGTACCCCTCTGTCTGAAGCCTGGGTGCCTCTCTCCCTTTTTTGGGTGGCCGCTCTTTCCGTTAAGCGTGAGGTTCTCAGCTTGAGTGTTCTTCTGAACCCAGCGCTATCAATGGAGTGCCAGATAGCATCTGTGGTCTGATCTGCCTATTTCCATCTGAGGTGGATTGACCAGCTCCGTCCCTACCTTGACACCGGATCCTTCACCACGTTGGTCCATGCACTGGTAGTCTCAAGATCAGACTACTGCAATGCTCTCTATGAGGCTGTTACAGAAACTTCAACAGGACCAGAATACGGATGCCAGGCTATTGAGTGAAGTGAATACATATTAACATATCACTCCACTTCTGGCCACCTTTCCGTTTCATGCCAGTGTAAAGGCAATGGTTTTAACCAAGAAAACCCCAAACGGTTTGGGACCTCACTACCTGGCAGAACTTCCAACAATATCTACCTGTCCTACAAGAACATCTCAAGTGGGTCAGCTGAGGATGGTAACCCTGAGAGAGGCTTGGAGGAAAAGACGAAAAACTGGGCCTCCTCGGCAGTTGCTCCTCGATTGTGGAATGAATTCCCCCCTGTAATTTGCTTGGCCCCTTTGTGGGCGATATTTTAAAAGTCACTAATTTATTTATTTATTTAATTTATTTATTTTATTTATATCCCGCCTATCTGGTCGGTTAAGACCACTAAAAACTTAGGTATGTAGGCAGGCATTCAAAAACATCATACCTGCAAGCTCAGCTGTGTCTAATTAGTCTATCCGTCCAATATCTGCCATCTTAACTGTTTTAAATACTTTGAATGTATTCAAATGTTTCATTTTGATGTATTTTTGTTTTGAGTTAATTGCTTATTTGTATTTTATTTTTTATATTTTTGTAATGTTAAATGGTACTTGGTGGTATTTATATGCTGCAAACCAAGTTGCCTTGGTCAGATCAGCGGTATAAAAATGAAATAAATAAATGAAATAAATAAAAGAGAGCTATTTTATTCATTTTACTTAATGTGTTTACCCTCACTTAATTACTTCTTGTGAGCCACTCAATGGAACACTGGGTATTTTCCCTATCTCTATAAGGAAAAAGGTAATATAAGGTAAAGGTAAAGTTTCCCCTTGACATTTAGTCCAGTTGTGTCCAACTCTAGTGGGCGGTGTTCATCCCCATTTCCAAGCCTCAGAGCCAGCGTTTGTCTGTAGACAGTGTCCGTGGTCACGTGGCCAGCACAACTAGACACGGAACACCGTTACCTTCCCACCGTGGTGGCAACTATTATCTATTCACATTTGCATGCTTTTGAACTGCTAGGTTGGCAGGAGCTGGGACAAGCGACGGGAGCAAAGCAAAAGCTCACTCCATCACATGGATTCAATCTTAGAGCTGCTGGTCTTCTGACCTTGCAGCACAGAGGCTTCTGCAGTTTAACCTGTAGTACCACCACGTCCCTAAAAGGCAATATACAGTAGAGTACTTCCTTTTAAACCAATGCAAAGAATCAGAGAAGGGCCTTTTATGTTGTCAGCTTCCTTGGGTACTATGAGGGGGACTGGTGGAATATAAACAAACAAACAAAATAGCACTTCCTTCCAATAGATTTCTCTTTCTCTCTATATTTGATTATAGTCTTGGTACATATGGTAGAAAAAGTCTTAAGTAGTAGTTCAGAGGCTATTGTGTAGTTCACCCACTGTGCTTGAAAATCAGCTACTGATAATGTGTTTATGTGCAATGTATTGTTTAGGCCTCATTGATAAGATACGGTGGGCACTGACTGTTGGAGAAAGATTGCCACAATGGTTATAACTGAACTGTTTTGAAACCTATGCCCTGTTAGTTTGATTTCACATTATCCATGTTGCAGGACCATCATGTAATTAATTTACATGGGCTGAAATTCTTTTTCTTTTGTACTCAGGCGGAAGGTGAATGGCATAAAATCCACTAGCTTCTAGCTTTTAATGAGTCCCCACTGGAAGTCTGTGCCAAGCCAGTGGGTGCATGTGGACCCCTCCCCCAAGAACTGCAGTGGCAACTCTTTAATTGCTGTCTGGAAGTGAATGAATGCTACAATATTTGTCTTCTATTATGAAGCTGTGGAACAGGATGTAAGCCATGATGTGTTTAAGTGGGACATAATAGACAGTGGGTTACATTATCTATATACTACAGGACCTAATATACAATTAATTTACGTGGTATGTTTAAGTGGGACATAATAAGTGGTCAAAATTGTCATTATTATTATCTTTGTTTTTAAGAGGAGACAGTGAAAAAGAAAGAAAGACAAAATTAAAACCATTAAGCTTGACAGAGGTCATGGCACATTAACTGGAAGCTGAATAAGAAAGTTGTGAGAGAAAGGAGACACACAAAGAAAAAAGTCCCAGTTTTTTTGTGAGCTGCCTGGGTTTACTCTCACACCTTTCATTCTTCTTCGTATCCATATTGGTTCCTCAAGCACAAGGAAGAAACTGCACTCTTTCTCATATTCCTCACGGTCAAGTATTCTAAGGGTAATGTATTTCCTGTGGGAACACAAGACAAAGGCAAAACAAATGGTTGGCATTACACACGCACACACACACATGCTTTAGTTGACCCACTGAAGTGTCGGTAGACTATGATGATGATGGAGAAGAAGACTCTATCACACATCCGCACTTTTTATGTATGTAAAACAGCAGAAAACTTCTGTTCTGAAATTTTCTTTCGGTTTGGTCAAAATCTCCTTTAAGAAACATAATTTAAAAATTAGACTGATTGGCACTTCTGTATCCTGGCAATATTGAAAGAACAATATTGCTTTTGTATTCGCAAAGGCGAATAAAAAGAACAATATTGCTTTTGCCCATTTAGATAAATGATTTGCTTCTGATTGTCACTTCAGCATCACTATGATCCACACTCTATCTGTTTATCTATCCAAATGTAGATTCCCACTCCCCTGCACTAAGCCTCAAGAGCAGAGCTCGGAAAATTAATTTTGAACTACAGAATTCAAAGTTTATGGCCATGGTGAATATGAAAGGTTTTTTTAAAAAAAGGCTAATTGTTTCCAACTCTGACCAGTGAGTTTAAGGCAAGTGTCCTTGTTACAACAATCCTATGAGGTGTAAGATACAGGACCATTCCAGGCAGTTCACTGCATGCAGAGGTGTCCTCTTCATGCAGCAGGTTTTGTTCATGTTCTATGTGAGTTCATTAGAACATCTGGAGTCAACCCAGTTCTGATCCACTTGCCCCCGTATTGGGATGTTTTTCACAGAATTAATGTCTGAAAGTGGTGTTAATGCTACCTGCCCAAGGCCATAGAGTGTACATCATGGCATGACAGATTTGAACCCATGTCTCCTATACAGTACCTGATTTATTCTATTGCACTGGGTCTCAGTCACAGCAAATGTCTCCCCCCAACTCAGTAACTCAGCTCTCTGCCCATTTACATAAATAACGGGATGTGTGCTTTGAGACTTCATGAATTGGAATGTGCCAGGCATCCATGAGTGATCAAGACAGGAGCATACAGGTAGGGCTCAGCCCCACACCGCCGATCCCCCACCTTTCTTTTCACTCATCTCCACCAGGCGGGGTTCCCCAATTTCAATGTAGAAGGTCTTGTTTTTCTCATACTCCTCATCATCAATTACTTTGATTGATATCGTTTTGCTGAAACAGAAAAGAAGAAGAATAGAGATTCAAAAGCAAGGCATAGGGAGGAAAAAAGGAAAGAAAGTAAATGCGAAGGAGAGAGGAAATTGCTCAGAGGATAAGAAAAAGGTAAGAAATTAAAGGCCTATTTCACCATGCAGCTGAAATAATGGAACTGTTTTTATAACAAAACAAGCTCTACCTCTGTGAAACTCTCACTTGCACATATGATAACACTTAAATCCACATAGGCATCTGACTCAGAGCTTGGAAAAGTTACTTTTTTACTACAATTATCAGATCTCTCAAAGTCCAAAAGAGCAACTTTTCAAATCTTTAATAATCACTGAGAACTTGATAACTCGCTATTGGGATCGGGACCCTTGTGAATTGATCCTTGTGAGTTGATAGTTCTGGGGAGTAACTAGGAGGTAGGGTGGCCACTTGTACATTGCCAATAAAGAGGGCATGCATCACCAAAATGAACGAAAAGATAGAGGTTTGCATAAAACTGCATCTAGTAATTTCTATACAAAGAGGTAAAATTAGAAATGATTTTCTTAACAGAACAACAACACATCCCACTCGAGCAGAGAAGACGGCAACCTGATGATCTGTGTGCCTCCTGCCTAGTCTGCTGATTGCTGATGGGCCACTTTAAGATTTCTGCACTTCTTCCTTATGGTTATTTATCTTTATATCAGATTTGCAATGAACAGCTATTTAGACAGGAGACACATTTAAGTAGAGGAACAAAAGCAGACAAATGGCTGCCCTAGATGCATAATATTGTATTTTAAACTCAGCAGATTTTCTCTCTTGTACCTAAGCAAAGAACTGGAGGGAATTTTGCAGGGTTGATCTGATTTAAATTTTTTAAAAATCTGATTTCTAAAAATTATTTAAACCAATTTGATATTAAAAAATCATTGATTTTTAACTACCCTAGAGTTTTGCTACAGTGTGTTGCCAAGAGTCAAATCAAGCATCTTCTGCTTTGAAAACCAGTTAATACCCTTCTATCCAGCTCCAGCAATCAGCACACCATGGGGAGAGATACATCCAATGTCTTATGCCTCTCTTTCAGGGGATTTCCCCTCAGATTACGACCTCTCAGTGCTGTTCTGCTACTTTGTTCACTCTCTCTCTGTGTTGCCACATTTTCATTTTTAATGAAAGGTAAGAGCAAATTTAGTCCTTTTCAAATTAGTCCTCTCAAAGGTTTAGTGGTAAAGATAAATGCAACACTTCTGTGAGAAATGTTGGCAGTCTCTGTGAGTCTGGGAACCATATTTGTCCCCAGCACCCGCTAGGGACTGTGTCATATTGCTTCTGGATTAAAAACTTATTTTTCTTTTATTATTAAAAACACTTAAGTTTTTAATTCCCCTTTTATGGTAGCAAAGAATCCTAAAAGACTCATGTGCTGCTTGGCCAGGAGCTAACTTATTTTGAACTCTCTCACCAGAAGCTTCCCGTCCTTTCTTTCTTTCTTTTTTTGTACTCCTTTCCCAAAATGCTTAGCATGCCCATGTGCCAAAGAGCAGGGCCGTGTTTCTACAATCTTTGTTTACATTAATTTTTGTTATGTGCTGTCAAGTTGCTTCAGAGTTATGGTGACCTTAATGATGGCTTTCCGAAGGCCCTGCATCAACAGCCCTGTCCATGTCTTACAAACCTCTTTCATTGAGCCAATCCAGATTATATCATGTCTTCCTCTTTTCGCACTGCCTTCTGCTTTCCCCAGGATTATTATCCTTTTCCAGTGAGTCTTGCCTGCTCATGATATGTCGAAAGAATGAGAGCCTCTGTTTATTTTAATCATTTTAGTTTCTAGTGGGAGTACTGATTCATATCATTTACTCTTTGTTAATGGATTCTCCTACGTCAAAGATATCTCTTAGAGCTTCGGTACCTCTCTCTCAATGGCTTTCAGGCTCTGCATTGTGTCTAACCCAATCCCTTGTTTAGTCACACCCCCCCAATGCTTTCTTGTTTAAAAGTACCTGTAAAGCTTTTTGCTATGAACCAGGCAATAACTTTTGCATCTGCTTTCTCTGATTCACATTCTGATTCAAGTAGTCTTATAGAGCACTATTTTTAGTGGTTTCTGTATTTTTAATATTTATTTGATTTCAAGGAAGTGTTACTGTTCTAGAACCCATTATACATGTGCATATACGGTGTTCTTAGGCTAAATGAATCAGGTGATGCACTGGCATCGAGTTCAAAGTTTCTCTTAACCCATGTACTATCAGAAACATATAACACTGCACACAAATCAGCAAAGGAGACATCTTAAAAAACACTACATCTTAAGAAAGGTCAAGGATCCATTTCATTATGTCCAACAACTGTTCTTCTTCACTATTCCCATTTTGTGTTTAATGCTGAATTTCAAGAAGTGTCTTCTTAAGCAAGAAAACTTGCTCGCTATGTTACCATAGGATTGCAGTGCTGTAGCTTTTTGATTTTTACTTTATGCAAAGCAGTCTGCGTTGCAAACCACTACTAATATATCATTGACCAAAGAATGGGACACTACTATCTGGGATGGTTGTCCTCTTCTACGAAGACTGCAGCTTCCAGAGCAGTTAGGGAGGAAGGGGTATCTGCCTAGCCAGCCAGACCAGCCGAATCAACCTTCACGATCAATGGAATGATAGATGTCACAGTCAGACCACCCTCACATCCATGCAAATAGATGTGAATGGCTGTAAACTCATTGGCTATGGCTGAGAACAAGTGGCCAGCTTTGGAGATCCTACAGACAGAAGGCTACTATTCTCTTTTCTCTAGTCAAAATAATCTAAGTCAAAGATGCTCATCAGGTGTCTGTGTATTTATCTATGCAAAAATGTGTATATATAGTACAATCAAAATTTTTATCATTAGTGAGAAAGAGCCTAAAAACCAGTCATCCTCAAGATATACTATAGTGGGAAAGAATACATTCATTTAAAAACCTGAGCAATGTAATCTGCTTATTTATTGAATAGTGTTTGTCTGAAGTTGCAAAAAAACACTATTTGCTTGTTTGCACTCAATTCTATTTTCCTAAAACCAAACCAAAATGAACATCCATCAGTCTCGCTGTTTTTCAAAGACACATGATGCTCAATAGATAACAACTTCGCTCTTTCTCATCCTCTGCCATATGATACAGTATCATGAGTCAGGTCATGCATGAGACTTAATACCATAGCTTGACTGTAGACCCAGTGGGAGGCTTTCAGGAGTATGATTTTGCATTTTGGGCAAACCCCTCCCCCCAACAAATAAAAAATAGAAATGGGCTTCATATGGGCTGTTGAAGACCGAACACAGTCTTCAGACAACACTTTTGTAATACTAGTGTAATAAATTAATAGTGAAAATGGAATAGCATTCATCTGATGCACACTGACAAGGATTCCCTAGAAACATTTGTGATGAAACTGAAAAGGGCAGTGTGGAAGGATGGAGGATGTAAATGAATCCACTGTTGCCACAAGCTGCTGATATGTGCACAAGGAAATCCACACAATTTCAAGCATTTGCAAAAGATTCTTATAACCTTCTTACAGTTATTTTCTCTCTCTCCCCTGCCCCATGTTCTTTTCCCATATGCCATTGGAGAAGGAGATAGCTCAGCAGCAGGATAAGTGCTTATATTCAAATAGCTCCAATGGGGCTGGGAAAGACCCTGGAGAGGTCCTGCCACAGAGAACAGACAACACTAGGCTAGATGGGCCAATAATGTGACTTGGTCTTAGGCAGCTTTCTATGTGTCTCTTGTTAACACCCTATGACAGTTTGGGACTGAGCTGTCTGGGGCAATCCAATCCTTTGAGCAGAGGAATGCCATAGCTCATCCCTTATTTAGAATAAATATACTTGGCACGGATTTCCATACTGCAATGACACAGAGGAATGGAACAGCATTGGTCAGCCTTAGGGTTATTGGCAGTGACAGAATCCAGTGACTTTGCTTGTTGAAGCCACGAGACCTAAGGAAGACATCTGGGAGTCAAGCAGCTACAGTATTTCTAGACATTTAGAACTACAGTGTAGTCTAGGATGTTTTAAAGTACCCATAAAAATAAATAAAGCAGCACAAAAGAACAGATGGATGTATCATATCTATCCATGAAATGACTGAGCCTGGCCATTCAGAGTGGACTATAAAAAGATATTTCTCAACATGCTGCTACAGAACGTATTATATCCATAGCTCTCCACACTCTAGAAATGCTAAAAGAGGGAAATATCTTTTTTTTTCAGTTGAGAACGTCAAATATGTCAAGTATGAAAGTTTGAATGATACTGGGTTTTTTCTTCTTTTTATAAGCAGTAAACTTGTTTTCCTTTTTCAACCAGGAGAGATTTCAGTTATATTTTTATCTGATGCATTAATAGAGAAACTTGACCTATTCTTCTGCCTTCTTGTCTTGAACTGTTCACCCTAGGGCATTCCATCTGTTATGAGAGAATGTGTTGTAATAAGCAAACAGAGAAGTAGACTACAGCAGAGGCTGTGTTGCAATAAGCTCCAACAACACCCAACAGAATTCATCATTCAGCCAACTAACTCTTTCTTAATATGCTTCATGTATAACATTAATTTTATCTTTATAAGACAGATTTTTAATTGTTGTTGTGAGAATTGTGGGGGAATACCAAAACAAATGAACTCTTTGGAACAGAAAAGATTTTGGCCATTAAATTTTTTTTGCAGATATCACTCTTTTGAGTTTTATAACCCCAACCTGTCCTTCCTTCTTCATTTTCAGAATTCATCCCCTGCCTTTTTCTCCTCTTATATTGAGGCTACATCACTATGGCTGGTACATGCCAGTTTGCTATAGACAACTTGGCTTATATTCTTTCAGCAAATGCTCACCTGGCAATTTCATGATTCTATCTTGAGGTTCCTCTTTTTTAAGTACTGCATCAAATTTTTTAGCCTCCTTTGTGTACAGGTGTAACTGTACAAAGGAGTTACTTAAGAAGAAAAAAGGTGGGAAGTATTTTCTGTC